TACAGTAGCCCATACATACTCCCAAGAGTCTATTGTTGAAATTTCATGCCATTTGAACAAGTATAACAACATCTACAAAAATAACAAGTTAAATAGGCTTATAACAACTTAATTAGGTTTAGCATAGCGAAAAGTGTTGAGCAACAGATTTACAATTTTTTTTACATTCCTCATAATACAAGAATGTTGTGAACATAATTTTATGCCCATAGGTTACATAAATCTATCCCAATTAATTTCACAAGAAACTAGCATTTAATCAAGCTAAAACAAGAAGTCATATTCCAAGCATGCTTACTGTACGATTAATATTTTTCCAAGCTACATCATGTCAAAACAAGACCAACAAAATTGGAATAATAATTTTAGCATCTTCCAAATTCAAGTTATGCATTTTACAAGATTAAATAGGTAATACAACAACAACAACAAAGCATTTAAGTCCCAAACAAATTGGGGTAGGCTAGAGTTGAAACCCAGCAGAAGCAATCAAGGTTTAGGCACGTGAATAGCTGTCTTCTAAGCACTCCTATCTAAGGCTAAGTCTTTGGGTACATTTCATCCTTTCAAGTCTCCTTTTATTGCCTCTACCCAAGTCAACTTCGGTCTTCCTCTGCCTCTCTTAACGTTACTATCCTGGCTTAGGATTCCACTACGCACCAGTACCTCTGGAGGTCTCCATTGGACATGTCCAAACCATCTCAACCGGCGTTGGACAAGCTTTTCTTCAATTAGTGCTACCCCTAATCTATCACGTATATCATCGTTCTGAACTCGATCTCTTCTTGTATGACCGCAAATCCAACGCAACATACGCATTTCCACGACACTTATCTATTGAACATGTCGTCTTTTCATAGGCCAACATTCTGCACCATACAACATAGCAGGTCTAATCGCCTTCCTATAAAACTTGTCTTTTAGCTTTTGTGATATCCTTTTGTCACATAGGACACCAGATGCTTGCTGTCACTTCATCCACCCTACTTTGATTCTATGGCTAACATTTTCATCAATATCCCCGTCTCTCTGTAGCATTGATCCTAAATATCTAAAGGTATCCTTCCTAGGCATTACTTGATCTTCCAAACTAATATCTTCCTCCTCCCGAGTAGTAGTGCCGAAGTCACATCTCATATACTCGGTTTTAGTAGTAGTGACGAAGATTAAATAGGTAATAAACAAGATAATTTAAATAAGATATAAAACTATAGTACATACCAAGTTTCATATTTTTAACAGATAGTACTCATCAATATGAAGCTAACAAAATTTAGTTCACTCAATTTGGACACTCCTAGAATTAGTTATGAATTTTACAAGTTTGCATCAAATTCAGTAAAAGAATAAAAGAAAAACATTCAAAAATTCTGGCCTTGGCTAAGTGCACCCGGCGCACTGCACCTAGAGGCGCTGGCAGCTGGGCCCTGTGGCCAGCGTGACCCCATGCATCATACACAGAATAGGGGCACGACTTGACCGGCGAAGATCTCGCTGACGGCGAGGTCTCCGGCGACGCGGTAACTACCATTAGCTTCGCCTCATCATCCCGCATCCAGCGGTATAGGCGGTTGGAGCTATTACGGCCTCTAGCTAGGGCGGCGGCGCTAATGGTGGCTTGGCGGCGCGCTCGCGTGGCTCGCCATCTTCGACGGTGGAAACGGCAGCTAGGGTTTAGGGTTAGGTTCCTGGGTGCCAGGCGGAGCTCTAGGGTTAGGGTTTAGGCTCGCTGAGACGCCGGTGAGGCACGGCCGTGTGCATGGCGGCACGGCGGCGTGGGCACGACGGTGTCATCACGGCATTCCGGTGAGCCGGGTGACGGCATTGCTCAACCAAACCTGTTCTAGTTTCCCCATCCTATGGCTAAGCTCTAATGCCTAAGAGCAAGAGAGGAATAGGATCGGGCAAGCGTGGCCACGGTGGCGTGCATGGCGACGGCGCGGCTGGTTCACGATGGTGCGGTGCACGTCCTATCTCCAACAAGGCTGACATTGGCCAAAGGCCAACGGCTATAGCATCCACTAGACCTAGCGACTACAGAACAAAAGAGAGAGAGAGAGAGAGAGCGGTGCATGCGCGAGGTGGCTCGGCCACAGCGAGCTCAAGCTTGGCGGCGCACTGTGGCCATGGCGACCGCGGCGATGGCCCTAGGGGCTTTACCTGTGCTCGAATGGCGTTGCTAGCGGGTCGATGCGATAGAGGGCGACACAACGGAGCTGTGGGCGAGACGAATCGAGCGGTGGTACGGTGTAGGTGGCTAGCACGACCGGCGAAGCTCAACGGCGGCGCGGCACAGTGTTCTCCACTTTGGTGCTGTGCGAGGGCGAGAGAGGGAGGGAGAGTGAGAGTGAGCGCGCGAGAGAGTGAGCGCCCGCGTTCCCCCCCTTTGGCTCGGCAGCGCGGGCCAGAGCCGGCGCGCAGCCTAACGCGGTTGGCCACGCGCCGCGGCCGATTTGAATCGACAAGGGCCGATTCAGGCCTGTCAACACCGCCTGAAACCCATTTCCCCCATTCTATCTCCTAATCCGTGAAGTGATTTGATCAACCAACTTCACCAAATTGTAGAGCTACAAGAGTACTACAACTTTGCTTAAAGAAGTTTTGTCAAATTCGAATTGGTTTGCAAACTAAAAATCTCCAAAGATGGCTACATGGAAACTGAAAGTCAGCTATGACTTAGCCAAAATTTTTGAGTTCCAAAACAGCATCAAGTTGATTTTTGTGAGCTCTATTTGACTAACTTAGGCACCGATTCAGCTCTTGACCCTTAAACAAAGTTTGTTCTACATGAGCTAGACTACAACTTTTATTTAGGGTCCACTGTCATGCAAGCTCTCTAAATAGTTAGTCAAGATAGGTCAAACAACTAACATGATAATGGCAATTTTAGCAATACCAACACTTAGAAGCAATTTTGGACCAAGTCATGAATATAAACTAGGTTCCATTTTTCATCCTAAGTGTGTCTAAGTTGTTTTGGTGACCAAATAAACCCACTTGGATTACCAAGCATAATCACTAAACATTCACAAGGCAATTTAAACACTTTATGAAAATAATCATAACTAGACAATGTATCCTTTCATGCTCATGAATCCAAATGTATGAATGATGCTTATGATCATGCAATGCAAGTGCAAGAATGCAAGCTTAACAATGGGGTGTTATAGCCCCTCCTCTCTTATAGGAATCTCGTCCCGAGATTAAGGTACTTACCATTTTTCATAAAACGCGGGGTAAACTTCACGTAGATAATCCTCTCTTTCCCATTTCCCATATTGCATCCCGTTCACTGTGATTACTCCACATTACTTTGTGGAACTTAATCACTCGGTTCCGAGTTACTCTCTCTTTACTATCCAACAGTTGTACCGGCTTTTCCTCATAAGCTAGTTGATTCTATTTTGATATCCGCCGTTTCAAATCTTTCTTTAGGAACACGCAAGCATTTCCTCAATTGAGAGACGTGGAAAATATTGAGAGTAGCACTCATCTCTGGAGGTAACTGCAGTTTGTAGGCTACTCTTCCACTTTTCTCAATGATCTTGTAGGGACCTACATACCTAGGTGCAAGCTTTCTTTTCACATCAAACCATTGTACTCCTTTCATTGGTGATACTTTTAGGTATACATAGTCGCCTACCTCAAATTCAATAGGTCTTCTTCTTTTGTCAGCATAGCTCTTTTGTCTAGATTGAGCGACTTCAATGTGTTGTTGGATGATATAAACTTGCTCTTCAGCTTCCTTGATAAAATCAATTCCATAATACCTCCTCTCTCCGGGTTCAACCCAGTTTAAAGGAGTTCTACATTTCCGACCGTACAAGGCTTCGAAAGGAGCCATCTTAATACTCTCTTGATAATTGTTGTTATAGGAAAACTCAGCTAGAGGTAGCTATTTTTCCCATGAACCTTTCGAAGGGATTACACATGCCCTCAACATGTCTTCCAATATTTGATTCACTGGCTCAGTCTGTCCAGATGTTTGAGGGTGATAGGCAGAACTTCGGACTAAGTTAGTGCCTAACTCTTTGTGTAAGTGTTCCCAGAAATGAGCAATAAACTGAGGTCCTCTGTCAGATACAATGGTTCTTGGCACACCATGTAAATGTACTACATGGGTGACATACAACTCTGCGTACTGATGTGGTCGGTAATGGGTGCTAACCGGAATGAAATGTGCAGATTTCGTCAAACGGTCCACAATTACTCATATGGAGTCAAAACCTTTCTGAGTGGGCGGAAGTCCAACGATAAAATTATTTTTAAATGAAGAGAATATCGTTCTAACAAAAAACTAAAATATGGTTTTATATTTTGATGTCATGGGTCTAATCTTTTGACACATTAGTAGTAGAATTAATGAAATTTGACAGCCAGATTCTTAATTTTCATAATATTTATAAATGAAGAGAATACTGTTCTAATAAAAGATAATATATGGTGTTGTATGTAAGAATTCATATATCAAACTCCAAAAAAGTAAGAGCTCTTTTCTGGTTACAATTACTACATGAAACTGTTTAGTATGTTAACAGATATTTAAGTTGATAAAACTAAAAGCTGTAGTTATTTTTTCAGAATTTCTTCCGAACGATGAACAAGGATGAACTCTAAAAATAAATTTTATGGAACACAATACTTAAGGTCGCTCACTGGTTCAAGAAAAGAAATGATTCAAGCCCTTTATTTGGTAGGATCAATGTCTTAGATCAAAACATTCTATAGAGACACATGTTAAACTAGGTTTAGTTCTAGAAAAGTCACCAAGCAAATAGCCTTAAATTAGTTCATCCTAGAATCCTTAAATTATTGTTTTATAATAATATGCTCATTTGCATTATAAATCAAAAAATAATGTATGAGTCATTCAATCCAGTGCATGCTATCATTATTGTTCCTACTTGGCTATTCAATCTTCACAATAGCATCCTCACTGCCAATTGCATTTAGATCTTATAGTTTACTGGAGATTCTCATATATTGATTATTTGTGTCAGGTCTCTCAAAGTCGAGACACATTAACAAAGCTAGGGCCTAGCTCAATTGAAGCTACCATCGGCGGTAACAGCTCATTGACGCCGAGAGATGAGATCCATGAGAATCAATTTGTAGGCAACAATGAGAAGATGGCCAAAAAGAGCCTTACCCGGACAATCACAGGTGCTTGGGTGGAATCTCAGGTTGTGGGTCGAGAGAAAGAGAAGATTGACCTTATCAATTTAATTTCAAAGCAACCTATAGTGATCTCGGTGTGGGGAATGGGAGGTCTTGGAAAAACTACTCTAGTCAAAGAGATCTACCAAAGGCAAGAGCTAGGTGGCTTATTTGAGAAGCGAGCATGTGTTACAATCATGCGTCCATTTGTTCTCCAAGAGATCCTTGAGAGCTTAGCTATGCAATTAGATGCATATTCTGTTGTGTTAGGCACAGAAAAAGTAACCGAAGCTCAAGCACTTGATAAGGTTTTGGCAACAAAGAGGTGTCTAATTGTTCTCGATGACTTGTCTTCTATTAGGGAATGGGATATGATAATACAAAGTGTCCCTAAAATGAAGAGTGAATGTTGGATCATTATCACCACAAGGGAAGAGAATATCGCAAGACATTGCTCACAAAAGCCAGAAAACATATACAAGCTCAAGGTTCTTGAAGATAGTGACGCTCTTGACCTCTTGACCAAGAAGGTACTGATACAGAACAATCTGCTTGCTGCATTTGTTCAATTGCTTTAGGTTATGAATGCAACACTACTTACTATTCTATTATAACGTCTGGATACAGAATAGAGTGTGGTGACCAAAGCCCCAATACTGGAGACAATGAAATGGAATAGGATGCAACTAGTGTTGCTCATCTGTAGTAGCCTTCTGTGCATAAGACAGACAAATGTGGACATAACATTTCTAGTGGCACCCTGGTCATCAACACCTAGCACTCTTGCCCCCTGTGCATTAGTATTTACTAGAACACTCTTCCCATTGCACAATGTTTGTCCATAGTGTCGGGAGTACCCATGTAACAATGTTTGTCCACATGAATATTGTGCTATTGTTATCTAGAGTAATTAATTCAATAATGCAAAGTGTGGCCTTTCAAGGGTAAAAACCAATGCGTGTAGCTTATGGAAGGTTCATGATTTTGAGGAATGGAAGCCTTTTATTTAATTGATTTATTGGTACATTTGCAATGACTTTAGTTTTGCACAATATGGGCATAGAAAAATATTGTGAAAAGGATGCAGCATATGATTTATAAATTGTATTGAAGTGATATTAATTACCATGTGTTCATACCATTCTGATTGAAAAATCTTCACATTTCGCCAATGTTATATATAATCGATGAACTCTCAAATCTCACTTGAGTGTTTAAAGGGCTCCAACACCTGAACTTTTGGGCTTCAAAGTTTGTGCTTCATAGAAAAGTTGAATATGCTGAGTCACGAAGTGGGAGTGTCTTATTAAGGAAATTCTTTGACTATATTTAAGGAAAATTCGAAAAAGGCTAAAGAATTTGAGGACAAGATTTAGTGCATGTGTGAAAAATTAATGGCTTATCTATGGCAACGGGTTGCTCTTAGCTAGAGCATGGCTAGCTATATATATCTATATATACTATTGCCATGTCATCTAAAGTCATCATTAGTGATAACTCATGCAATAGGTTGCTATTAGCTAGGTTGGCCATCTTTTCCACCAACTCTTTTTTTCTATCCTCTGCAATTACCTGTTTGCATTGGAGCATGGGGAGAGGTGGGCTTTTGCATGAGAGCCTCCTCTTCTCTTTTTTTTTGAATGAAACTCCTCTTCTCATTTTCCCTTGTCTCTCTCCTCCATATAGAAAAATTGCCATATAAGTGGTCCATAAATAAGTTTCTTATTATGCTTGCTCATAGGACTATCTCAGTGCATTGCATCATACACATTAAATGAGTGTCACATAGGAACCATATATAAGCTTTCGGCCCATTCTCATAGATATGACATTTGCAATAGTTAGTTAACTTGAGGTTTCTAAGGAACAACACCACATGCATTGGGTGGCTTGTATCATTTTATATTTATATGACATGGCAACTTTGGAAAGAGTGACATGGTACAATGCATTTGGGGGACTCATATTAACGTCGCATTATCTATTCGTGTCGGTAGAGTGAGGTGGTCTGACCAGAAGATATTTACTTCTTTGAGGTTTGGGTGCCACCACTTAGTTATATGCATGTTATGTAAACACAATGGCTAGACCACTATTTGCACCATAACCTTTTAATTCAATACATATTAAGAACTTTCTTTACTGTAAAAATAAAATCAAGGTGCTAAAAATCAATTTCCAGAGATGGCTGCTAGCTTGACCAAGGGCATATGGAAATGAGTGGTTTCCGCATGCATCCTAGCAACCGTCTGTAGTCTAGAAATATATTTTTAGAAATGGTATCTTCAGTTGGTCCTCACTGTAGGAAAAAACCTAGTTAACCCCCCAAACTATTAATGTTTGTCTACTTCACCCTCTTACCTATGAAACTAGGTATTCTACCCCTTAAACTATGGAAAGCCGTCTAAATAACCCCCTAATGCGGTTTGAAGGTGGTTTCACTGAAGTGGCATAACCCCCTAACAAATCAAGGGTTGACTATAACCCATTCAACTATAACACCTGATATTGTAGCCCAAGCATCTAATAATATTCAAATAACCCCTAGATGATTTTGTAGGCCCATGCGCCACCGCTCGATGAGCACCACATTATCTTCTACTCCACCTCATGGCACTCCTTGACGGCATTGAGCTCAAGTAATGCGGCTGCACCCTTGTCATTCAACCCCTCCCACATCCTCGCCCCATCTCGCTTTCTCCTTCTATGGCTACCTAAAAAACTAAAGGACGGCTGGATGGAGGATGTGGAATGACGAGGGTTCGGGCACGGTGCATGAGCTCAATGTCGTCAACGAGTGCCAAGAGGTGGAGCAGGAAACAAGTTGTCGCGTGTTGCTCGTTGGCAGTGGGTCAGCCTAGAAAGAGTAGGGATGTGGAGGCAGCATATGGGCTTGCGTGCAAGCATGGGTACTTAGGCCAATGTGGCAGGGTACGGTGTCCAAACGGCCCTACAAGACTATCTAGAACTGTAATTTGAACATTATTAGATGATTTAAGGGCTACAATATCTCATTTTATAGTTGAGGGGTTATATAGTCAACCCTTGATAATGTTTGGGGGTTATGTAGACTAGCGAAACCACCTTCAAAACCGTTCAAGGGGTTATCTAGACGGTTTTTAATATTTGAAGGGGTACAATAACATAGGTGAGGGGGTAAAGTAGATAACCACCATTAATTAAGGGGTTAAGTAGACTTTTCCCCTCACTGCAGATAGATTGCTAGAAGCTGTCCCTTAAGTCGATCATCTTTGAAAATTGATTTCTATGGACAGCCCCTTTTGTTGTGTGCCACTAGAAATAGATTTGAAAAAATAGCGTAAAAATCAGGATTTTTATGCTAGGATGACCTATTGCTGTCACAATCATGTGAGTTTTTGCACAAATCACGTGCCTATGTGGTATATAGGTTTCATACCCAGGACCTCTCTCCATGTCTACCATCAACAAAACACTTCTTAACTAGACGAGGAATGCTATTCTTATGACTTCACTTCAAAAATCCCTGTATTTGCGTATTTGGCACTTACCCAATCTTAAATGAAAATGTTGTAAAAAACTATAGATATATAGATCTCGTTAACCACTACAACTTATATATGAGCATGTCTCCATCTAAGGTCGTTTTAAAAGGGCGTACCCAGTGCAGAGAGCTCCCGCTCTGTGCGGGGTCTGGGGAAGGGTGTCAGTGGCAAGCCTTACCCTCGCCTGTGCAATGCGAGGAGACCGCGACTTGAACCCGGGACCTTCCGGTCACAGGCGGTAAGACTCTACCGCTTGCACCAGGCCCGCCTTTCATCTAAGGTCGTTTTAAAAATTCAGAATTTTGTTTCTAAAAATGGATAAGGGAAATTATAATGTATATTTGGGTCCATAAAAGTTATCAAATGGAAAAATTTGTCAACTACAAAGTTTTAGATCTCAACAAGCTCTATGAGGTTCATATAAAGTTTGTCTTTATCACTTCATATGAAGAAGTTATTAATTTATATGTACGGTCTCTATTTCTATTTATAATTATAATACTTAAGCAATTCAATTCTATCTATTGCAGGTATTTAAGGAGGCCATAAATTTATATAATTATCCTGCATTGTTTGAAGAGGCTAGAATGATTCTTAAGAAATGTAGTGGACTTCCCCTAGCAATAGTGACAATAGGGGGCTTCTTGGCCAAGCAACCAAAGACTCCCATGGAGTGGAGAAAATTAAATGAACATATTAGCTCCGAGTTAGAGATGAACCCAGAACTTGGGATAATAAGAGCTATCCTTATGAAAAGCTATGATGGTTTACCATATCATCTCAAGTCTTGTTTCTTGTATATGTCCATCTTTCCTGAAGACTACAGTATTAGCCGAAGACGCTTGGTGCATCGATGGAAAGCAGAGGGTTACTCAAGTGAGGTACGTGGCAAGTCTAAGGGGGAAATAGCTGATGGCTACTTCATGGAACTTATTGAGCGAAGCATGGTCCTACCATATAAAGAATCAATTGGTAGTAGAAAGGGTATTTCCTCTTGCAAACTTCATGATCTCATGCGTGAAATCAGCATCTCAAAGGCAATGGAAGAAAATCTTGTTTTTAGAATGGAAGAAGGATGCAGCTTAAACACCCAAGGCACCATACGTCACCTCGCTATAAGCAGCAATTGGGAGGGTGATCAGAGTGAGTTTGAGAGCATAGTGGATTTATCTCATATAAGGTCATTAACAGTTTTTGGGGTGTGGAAACCGTTTTATATTTCTGATAAGATGAAGTTGCTACGTGTGCTGGACTTGGAAGGCACCTCTGGTCTTGTGTATCATCACCTTTTGCAGATTGTGAAGCTCCTTCACCTAAAATACCTTTCTTTAAGGGAATGTAAAGGCATTTTTCACCTGCCAGAGTCACTTGGTAACCTGAAGCAACTGGAAACACTAGATGTTACTGGTACAATAATATTCAAGCTGCCGCAGGCCATCACCAAGCTTAGGAAGCTACAATATATTCGTGCCGGGTCCTTGTATAATGATATTTTCATGGCTCTCTCCGCTGAAGAATTCACGGAAAATTTCATGGAAGATGCCCCGAAGAAGTTATGTGTGTGGACTTATCTTTTTATTACCTTTTGTTTTTCAATTTGCAGCCTTAAGTTTGCGAAGAATACACGAATACCAGCTGACATGGAGGGTGAGCCAAAAAATAGGCGTGATGTGTGCACATTCTATTGCTGCGTGGTGTTCCCCTTTTTAGCAACGCTTGCCGATCCACGTGGCGTTGCAGTGCCAAGAGGGCTCTGGAAGTTGAAAGCCTTGCACACACTGGGAGTTGTGAATATTGCACGAGGGAAGGCCATCCTACAGGACATTAAGAGGCTCACCCGGCTACGCAAGCTAGCAGTTACTGGCATCAACAAGAAAAATTGCAGAGAGTTTTGTTCCACCCTTGTCCATCTCAGCTCTCTGGAATCACTGTCAGTGCACTCAAAGGAGGAAGGTCTAGGTGACTGCTTGGATGGATTGTCCTCGCCTCCGAAGAACATCCAGAGCCTCAATTTGAATGTCAATCTGGACAAATTACCAGAGTGGGTCGCGGGTCTCCAGAATCTTGTGAAGCTGAAGCTGGAACACACCTGGCTAACAGAGGTGGATGGCACCATACGAGTCCTTGGCAAGCTATCTAACCTGTCCATCCTTTGTCTGCTGGGCCGCACTTTCAAGGCAGGAGGCTGTCGTTTATCTTGCCGGAGGGAGGCATTCCCGAGTTTGACAGCGCTGGAGACAGGGTGGTACACTGGCATCGAATCGGTGTTGTTTGAAGAAGGAACAGCGCCTAAGCTTGAGCTGTTGCTTAACAGGGGCGCAATCTCTTTTTCTGGGCTATCATGTCTGCCGAGCCTCAAGGAAGTTATGATTATGATTCGTATGGATCCATGGTTGAGGAATGACGTGCAGCACCAGCTTAGCCTGAATCCAAACAAGCCTGTTCTGAAGTTTGTTGGAGCTGAGCTCCGCATGTAATCAGCCAGGCCGGTCCTGTGCTTTATTCCCTTCTTATTTATTTTTTATGCTTCCTGCTTCCCTGTTCCTCTCCATTTTAGGTGTGTACCTGAAACAATGTTTCCATGTATGGGTGTTAAATTCAACTTGTATAGTTGTACCGCTAGTGGCCTGTGTTTGATCTGACGGTACGGATTAGAGGAGTCTGCCGTTGGGCAATCACCCCCAAAGTTGTATTAATTTCCTTTGTGTTTATGTATATGGACCATAAGAGCTGGTGTGCTCTACTCTGCACTGCACTACTGCAGCCAGATGTCATGTAAGTGAGACATGTTCAGTTCATTCAGTAATTCTATTCAAAGACCCCAGAGGCAGTGGCATACTGCATAGATTATGAGCTGCACAAGTACATAGATGTGCTGGTTGCCATTTTATCTGATGGCGTTGCATATATATAGTACTAAGCTACGATATTCCCCGTGTATTGCCATTCGCAATCGCTGGACATGATTTTTTTTTTGACGAAACTTGAACATGATGTTACCGCAGGAATAATGCTGTAGCGTTTGGTCTATTGGTGTGCTTAGTGTCAGATGTAACAGTGAAACATGTTCGTTTGAGTAATTCTACTGCAAAGAATCAGTATCATTGCCTTGTTAGTTTGGATTCCCCATCCTCACGTCTCTGTGTCGAGTATCTGTTATGTTGCTTAAAGCTCATCAGAAAGATATATGGTTTCAGGAACTCGTAGCATTCTAATTAATCAAATCTGCACAAAGTCACCGTTGTTTGGAACTTCAGATGCTACTCTCCGATGAGGCGATGAGTCGTGCACATCCAGTGGCTTGCCATTAATCAGTTCCGGCGAGCTAGCGTCGACATGTTCCTCCGCCGGGCTGGCCAGAGAAACGGACATAGGACTGCACAATTCTACTGTACTTTTTTTTTAGAAGCAGAATTCTACTGTACCTGTTTCGTGAGAATTCTGTTGCGTGAGAAAATGTGGCACCATCCGTGCCGGCCTACTGAGTCCAGATGCGTTTCGGTTCTCCGGCGGCCCGGCCCAACTAGCCACCAATTGAGATTTCAGAGAATCAAATAAGTGCTGCCGATTCTTCTCCTCTCGTCAACCAAAAAATAAACTGAGCTAGTAAAAGGCGGTCAACACCTGCCGATCCCCCTCCCCATCGTTTGAGGAGGAGGTCTTCGCATCGAAGGCGTTCAAATTGGGCTAAGCGGCTCGGCAAGCTGGTGCCTTTGGCTCAACAAGGGCCCATTTAGAAGGCGATTGTGCACATTTAAGCCCTTGATGATTTGTACTCATTAAAAGGGGGAATATGCCAGAATATGCTCCAGGTTGCAAAAGATAATTGTGTACATGTAAATGTATGTAACCGTACCTTATAAAAATGGTACTCGAACTAATGACAGAGAGATCAATTGGCACACCGACCAAGAAGTTGTTGCCTCAGTACTCGTGCTTGAGCAAGCGAAGGTCTAACCTTCGGAGTGAGGATCTTGGTCGGCTCAAGCTTTGCGCTAGCAAATCTGTTCTCCTGTCGGGATATACTTATCCCAACACAGATTGCATGAAAGAATTATTGCTACTGAATCTCCTCGAGTCATTCATGCATAGAAGGTCATGGTTTCTTGGTTGTCATGGCAAAGATCGATCTCTTTGCCTCTTCGCTAGACTGTGCAGATGTTGTCGTGCCTTCTCCTGTTGTTCTCAGTTTATTTGTTTTTGTCTAGTGCCTTCTCCTGTTGTTCTCAGTTTATTTGTTTTTGTCTAGTCGTTAACCTTGGTGGATGCTTTGGGTTGCTTGCTTTCTTTGTTGTTGTAGTTGTTGTCTTCATCGTCGATCATTAGCTTGTCCTTTAGGATTGTTCTTGCTTTACTGTATATGTGTAGCCCAATCTGAATCATATTCTACTGTATTATTGGATATTTATCCCCTTTGATTTTAGAAATTAAACAAATGAAAACAAAATTTTGCACATGAAACACAGAATTTTGCATTTCGATACAAGATTTCCTTTTTAAAAAAGGAAACATACTAAAGTCAAAGGTGACAAATTCCAATATTCTCAGGCCAGTGCTTTGTCACATCCGTCTTCATTTTACTTAATTTTGGGTACAGATCAAGCTCTCACCATCATATTGGTAGTTGGGTCTTGGCGGCAAGTTCTCCACAGGCATAATCAAAAGATAAAAAACATCTCTATCAACCTCGTAAACCGATACCCTACACCAGAAGTGAGGGGTTAAGGCAAAAAAAAAAAAAATTTCGAGCATTCACCCCAGTTTTGGGCATGTTTGTTTGCTTGGATGAGACCGGGACAGGCCGGCGCGCTGCAACCAGGCATATTTGTTTGTCTAGACGGCCTCATAGGCCTGGTCGGCATGTTGCTTAAAGCACTGAAGGGCCTACAACCGATAAAACGAAATCATCATTCGTTTCTCCCTAGGCTTCGCCCAACAGGTACGCTTGTGCCAAAACGCCGCGACTGCAGCTGGCCCTACTGGTAGTTGTGGTAGAACCCACTCCTCTTGCACCCAAACAAACAAAATTTCCACAAAACCAAACCCAATAGAAACACAACAACCAAACAAAAATAGTTGCACCACCATGGCCTGCTTGGAGATGCCCTAGCCCAACTCATCCGCATACACGAGTGTCCATGCTTTGTAGACCGACTAGTAAATTTGTATGATCGTCGCGCTGCTCCAGGAAGACGATGGTATCATCCAAAAGACACAAGGAATTATACTGGTTCAGGCCAGAGCCCTACGTCCAGTCTCAGAGAAGATCGAGTACGTGTTCCTCGGTTGAATGCTCTAAAGTTCTTACAATGGGGTATGCAAGAAGAGTGGAAAGAGGTAGGAGAATGGAGAGGGACTGCCCAAATGAAGGATTCGAGAGTCTCGTCCCATTGGAAGGGTGCCCTGGTTGCCCTTATATAGAGTCCGGGGCCATGTCACGTACAAAGAGATAGATTCTCCCGACCGAGGGGTCGTGAGCCTGAGGGAGGGAACCTAGCTAACTTGGCTGGCAAGGAACGCCGTCTTGTCTTGGTGTAGCGCACCTCTGGGCATGGTTGTCGTCATGGTCTTGCACCCATGTCACGGCATGGTGTGGCATGGTGCTACTGTGCTAGTTGTGGCAGCATGGTGTAGGCGCGGTGGTGGTTCGCCAGCCATCCTGTGTGACATAGCTTCACCGTGGCCTTTGTCATTGCCTCTTGATCTCCCAGGGGCGTCGTACAGGAGTTGGTGGCCGCCCTCGGGTCGTCAGTTGTCTTGCTTCTTGTGGTGCCGACGGCCACGACCTCGAGTTCTGAGGTCATGGCCTTCGTTGGCTGGGACGGGCCCGAAAGTCAAGGCCACCGTCGTGAGCCCCATCCCGTAGTGGGCGGGGTCATACACCCATCTCGTCGAGCTGTATTTGGACGGTGGGTCACTGTATTGACTGCCACTGCTTGGCGGTGTTGTCTTGTCTGTGCTGCGTGGTGCAGGGATGGCGTCTGATCGAGTTAAGGGGACTACTGTCCCCTCAGTCCTTGTGGGGTCCGTGCGGCGTTCCTGCTCTTGTCAGAGCAGGCGCGTCTGGCAGAGTCCGACCTCTTCCCGTTCCTCCTAAGGGTCGGGATGGAGGATAGGTCGTGTGATGTTGCGCGACGTGTGGTGAAGGTAGAGGAGGTCGTGACCGACTCCTACCTTAGTGCTTGGCCCAGGTCCACATAGTTTAGCTGGGCCGCGGTCGATTGGGCTTATGCTAGCTAGTGTGTCGTGGGCCGTCCGAGCGGCTAACTAATCGGTGTCTTGAGATACCCGGGGTATCATAACACTGACAACGAGCCAATAGACAAACAAACACAACCCTTATGTTTGTTTCGTTTTCTCACCTATCACCATGAATCCACTCTTTCTGTGTTCTACATCTAGGTTTAGCTAAACTGGGCGACGTAGGTCCTCCCCAACCCCTTCGCGAGCGCACCGACCACCCAACCACATCATCACCTCCCTTGCAGTTGCCTGCGCCAAAAGAGAAGGGTCCGGATCGTGCAACACCAACCTCTCTACGATCATCTTGGGCTCCACCTTGACGAGCCACTAGGGATCCACACTCCCCTAGGCCTAATTTGGAAAAAAGTGGGAGGCAAACTTAGGAATGGAAAGGTATTTTATTCAAATGACCACACCATGGATTGTTGGCCCCGGAAAAAGTCTGAGGTTCCAAGGAGATTTGAGTTTTCAAACTAGCCCCTAGTGTTCCCTGACCCCTCCCTACTATCGGGCCTCTTCTTGGTCTTCCTAAAGCTTGTCAATGCCGAAACAGAAGGGCGCCCCCCGGATAGAGCTATTTCGGAGTACCTCCCCTTCCAATGAGCACCTCCTGCCGAGCCTGCTCTACCCAAGGTACCTCTCAGTTCATTGGGCATCAACGGACAGGGGAACAAAGAAAAGAGAAAAAAGGAAAAAAACATGCTGACATATGGACGTATGTGTTATTATGTATGCACAAGAACACAGGGTTAGAAAATCAGGAAAATAGTGGGGAAACGATCTCTACGGGGCGGTAACTATTTCTCTTAAATTTAAACAACAATCATGTGCTAGAGCAACTTCAAGTGTTCATCTAAAATTGATAGCTAAATTCTATAATTTAGTCATGTATGTAAAACAAAGAACTCCTCAAAGTGGAGGGATCTGCAACAACCTAGCTATTTTTCCTCTTTTATATTTAAAACTTGCCAGGTACCTTCACAACAGGATCTCCACGATGGGAAGCTTCTGCACGCACGGGAAGGGATTGTGCGTGCGCGCAGGCGTAGCCGCGAGCAAAATCAGAAGATGGTAAGTGACCTGGTTTGCTTTCTATGATGACCGAAAATTCTGGGATAGCTCACTTGCTATTTTAGAAATCCAGATATCATATCTGTTGGAGCCCAATTTTTGTTGTATAAATTCTAAAATAGCATCCACAACAATATCACATCTCTTTGAGTTGCTCTTGGAT